CATCTGAAGATTGAGCAGCCCAAGCATTCTTTTAAGAGTGCCATCAGGTGCTCTATCCTGAAGCCATACATGTTTATTTGTCCTTCGTGTTGTGTAAGGAGTTCGAATATGGCCTGCATTGCGGAGTCATTCGGCACTCTTGTATAAAAGGCGGTAACGTCGAAGGACTCCATCACGCACGCGCTGTTGGGCTGCGCAGTACGTAGACGATCCAGAAACATCTGGGTATTCGTAAGATGGGCTGGAATGTGTTTCAACAACTGGTTAAATATTAGGGTTAAAAACCATGTTATCCTGTCCGTTGGCCCGTCTACGCAGCTAATGATAGGTCTAACCTTAAATAGTGATGGATCGTTAGACGCAAGATCATCGCTGGATACTAACTTATGAGTTTTTATAAGTAAGTACAAGACGGGGCATGTTGGTAAGTCAACTCTAAGTTGAGAGATAACTAATGGTTTTAAACCAGCAGCCCTTGCCATTTTGGCCCATTCGTGGTTCAGTTTTCGGTGTTTTCTTTTAAATTCCTCCTCAGACGATGGTCGATAAAGCGAAGCATCTTCAAGATGCTTTTTCGTTACCTCCACATCCAACTGATGAGGAATTACGACAAACTCTCCACCCTTATCACTTACGGAAAGTCTTATGGTTTTCAACCTTATCAGGTCTCGTACCTCTCGCATACCACGTTTTTGCACTGGAGTGAGGTTGGAGCTGTATCTTTTCGCGCGATAGTGATTAAGGAGTTTGAGAGTTTCATTCGCAAACATCCGAAATTTAACATCAACTTCATTATTGGGCTCTTGCTGTCTAACGAACGTCGGGGGAAATGGTGCCATTGGTAGGGCCCCCACTTGATGTTGTTCGCACCTATTTAGCGCTTCACCTCTAGCTTTTTTGCGGAGTCTATCCTGAAGTTCATGTAAACCATATGCGACCCTACGCAAGGATGTTTCGAACGGCAACCAACGTGTGCACGGGAAGAGAGCAGAGAGAGGAGTCCCGGAACTTGGCACGGCAAATAGCCATTTCTAATGGCTACGAAACTGTAGCTCAGAATAGGTGTAGAGGAAATCGTAGGCCTCCAAACGACAACTCTAGCGATAGAAGGGTCCCGTTTATCCTACCCTTCATCTCAAATGATATAAGTACAGCTATAAAACGCTGCTTAAGAAGGGCGGGCGTAGAGAATTCGATGAGCGTAGTTGAAATACCACCGAGTAATCTTAAGCGCCAGCTAGTTCGCAACCGCCTATATGACCGTCTATGTGCAACTGAAAATTGCATAATTTGCTCCAGTGGTAGAGACTGTAATTGCATGAGCTTTGGTATACTTTATCTGATCTCCTGTAAGACGTGTGGTGACGAATACATTGGCGAAACGGGTAGACCCCTCTGTGCCCGAATGAAAGAACACCTAGCCAGCAAAAATAGACCAAATACCCCGCTAGGCACGCATAGGACCCAGAGACATAACGGGGACGA